CATTAAAGAAGAACATGATAGGATTCCGAGGGGCAGGCCTTAAATAAAAATATTAGTGAGAAAAGATATATAAATAAATATATATATATATATATATAATTTTAAAAAAATTGCAAGTTACTTGTTTTCGACATTAATCCTCTCTGTTCGAACGAATGATATATTAAGTTTCATTGGGTGTATATGTAATACTTCGAAGTATAATTGGTTATCACCCTCTGCAGACTTGGGTTCAGGAATATCAGAGGTACCTTCAATAAGTGGTCGGCTATTATTATTTTTATTAAATAAAAAAATTATTTAAAATTAAAAATAAAAATAAAATAAAATGATGCATTCATGTAAAAAAATTTTTTTTTTTAAAATAAAAAATTTTAAATTACGTACTCTTCAGCTTCTTCTTCTGTACCGGGTCCTTGAATTTTCGTAAATTCGAGTAATGAAAACAGAAAATCTTCATCAATTTCAAATGTCATTTCTTGTAATAAGATAGAGAAATATTTAATGTAGGTAACTCCGTGAGCTAAATTACAAAAGAAAGATAAAGAAAATTCAAAGGGTAATTAAAAAATAATCACAAAAATAAAGCACAATTAGCAATTAATGAATGATAATACTTTACATTCATCTTTTGCTTTAATAAGAGATGTATGAAAAGCAGGATGAACTTCAATTTCTTTGGAATCTTTCGGGACAACTGTTGGATATAATATTATTGGATAAAGTCCTCCATAAAGTTGATTATCGATCTACATATTTTTATTTAAATGTTATTTTCATATACGTGAGAATTTTGAACAAATTTTAAAAATCATAAAAAGAAGAAAAAAAAAATACCTGTAACCATTTTACAACAAAATTGATGGATTGATAAAGTGTAGAATCGCTATATTTAAATTCCAAACCACGCATGAAAGCATATAATAATTCCTGAATAAATTAATTATTAAATTTAAAGAAATAAATTTAGAAAATTCATACACACACATGTTATTAAATTAATTTAATTCAATTCATTAAAGATTTACCTGCATTCGTTTATTAATCACAGATATTCCTATACCTTCAAGTCTAATCTGGAAAGTCAATGTGGTCACCGAATCAATGTCAATCTAT